ATAGGAAGTCGAACAATGTGGTTCCGAATATTTTGCTGATAGACTGAGAGCGCTGCAGAAGCTAGAAAACCAGAAGATCAGCAGAGTCGTCGAGGACCACTAGGCTCATGTCAAACAGTTCGTCGACAACCATCCAGTAACATCCTTTCAAAACTACTACAAAATATCCATTGACAACGATCGGATGCCCGGAAGCTTCTGCGTCAAGCCATGGACATCTATGGAAAAGATAAGCCTCCTGTAAGATAACAAGATCTATGCCGTTCTTAACAAAAACAGTATTGCAAGGAGTTTTCTTTGAATGTTTTCAGGGAATGCAACTACCAGGAGATTAGAACAGGAAAGTACTTGCACGCTCTAAAAGTCAAGGGGAAGAATCATAGATCTATAATGCTATAGAAGACTATTTACTACACTTGCATTTTCACTATTGGAACAGCTGCTTTTCCTCTCTCTAGTGGCTCTCAAGAGGACAACTTTCCGAATCCAAACATAGGAAGAAACCCTGTGATTGAGGAACAAACCATTCTATTGCATGGTATCGTTGTATGGAGGAAGAAATGAGAGTGATTCTACATCATGCAATTTGCAGTTGAATTAACCGCAAATTTAGAATTCGCTACTAAATAACCGCGAATTGAAAAATTTGCTGTTAAATTTACTGCGATTTTTGAATTTGCAGTTAAATTTACCGCGAATTTTTCAACTCCCGGTTAATAAACGCGAATTATAGTTGAAAGAATTTCTTCATCCATAACGCCCGCTTCGCGCGGGCGGTTCGGTTTCATGATCTGGTTGCCTCCGTGACACATACTGGCTGGCGATTGAAGAAATATTCGGCTGGCGCGTATTGACATTTTTACATGATGGGCCTGTGGGAATTCTGATGTCTTTCGATGGGCGATCCCTGCCGTAAATATATTTCAGTTTTTAAACAATATCATTTTCACAGAACAACTTTATTTTTGATCTTTTCTGATCCTAATTCTGTAAATAACAACGGGTCATTTGATGGTCGCAGGGTCATTAAGAAACTTCGAATTCCAAATCATATCAATAGACGGGAATCCTGAAGTTGGGAGTTATAACTCATTGCGAGGGAATCCTTGAGTTATAACGTTTGAGTTATAACTCACACGTTTGAGTTATAACTCAAACGTGTGAGTTGTGTGAGTTTTTACTCAAATGTGTGAGATTTTACTCACAGAGCCGAGCTTCCCCCTTTCCAAAACCGTTGCTGGAAATTCGAGCTGGCGGACCAACGACTACTTTCACCAAAAGATACAGTCCTGTACTTTTCCAGATCCAAACCCTATAAAAGAACTTGTCACGCAACATCATTGGGACAAAAACGAGTTCTACGGCGAGGCAGGAGGTGAAAGGAGAGAGACTTTCAGCCGCTTCCTCACCGACAAGGTCAGAAGAAAGGGTTTTGGTTGGAAAGAATTCGTTGATTTGCTGGATGAACGGGAAGTTGAGTAACTCACACGTTTGAGTTATAACTCACACGTTTGAGTTATAACTCAGACGTACTCACACGTTTGAGTTATAACTCAACGCCGTGAGTTATAACTCAGGATTCCGTTGTGATCTGAGTTATAACTCAGAAAAAGTCACAATGACCAATCGGTCATCTGTGTCCATAAGTCCCTATTTGATAAATCATCACATAATAATATGTCATTAATAGTTAAAGGGAAATAATATAGATTTTTCGAAGCTAAAAATATAATTTTATATCTCCGGGCACGAGCACGTCAAACTTTGCGATCAGTCTCCCGAAAATACTCGGTCTGAACATTTGCCGGGTGTTCCTGGCCTCTTGAGTTTTTTTTTGGCAATCACACGAGTCAATATCAAGTCAATTGAGTCAATTTGACTAACGGCTGGTTTTTCAGCCGTTACCCGAAAGTTGTTTTCTGCAGTGGAGCCCCTCTAACACCTCCTATGAACTTAGGATGGGCAAAGTATTCTCTAGCGCTTTGAAAAGGTTTTAGGTCCGTAGGTGTCTTTTGAAATTTTTGCTTTGTCCCCAGAATTCCAAATTCCACCCGAATTTTGGGGGTTTTTGTGGATCGGGGTCTTATTATTGGTTTTCGTGAGGTATGGAGGCAGGAGGATTGGAGAGGTGCACGGTGGGCCCACCCCAGGTCTTGTCAGAGGTCCACCGGAGGGTGCGCAGGGGGCGCATAAGTTGCACCGCCATACAAAAAAAGAAATCCTGACATATTCTTTTTTTTTTAGGCAAGAGAATCAAAGATCACACGAAACGATTCAAAGATCACACGAAACGATTCAAACGAAACGATTCAAAGGACTTTGAAACGATTCAAAGGAATCGAAACGATTCAAATGCGAAACGAAACCGTTCAAATGATTTTGAAACGATTCAAAGGAATCGAAACGATTCATTGCGACGGACGAAACGATTCAAAACGACTTTTTTGCTTCAGTAATGCCCCAGCTCAGGGGTGCGGGGAAAGCTGTTCAGTAGTCAAACTAGTCGAGATTTTCAATCAACAAAACGGTCGATTGACGGACGAGTTGCGGAGGGTCCAGGTATACTATGTCAACAATCCTATTAAGTGTATAACAAACCTTCGGATTTGATTATCGCCGTTCGATAGGGCCCCAGCATGTCCAAGGTCTTTGAACGAAAACAAAACATACATAACATCCGTCAGTGAAGGTCAGTCAATTTATTACGCCGCTTTCACATCCGATTAAAAGTGTCTATCGTAAAAGGCCTTTTTCCGAAACAAACCTTCGGATTTGATTATCGCCGTTCGACAATGCCTACTATCTACATAACATCCGTCAGTGAACGTCAGTCAATTTATTACACCGCTTTCAAATTACATCGAGGCATGAGAGAAGGTGCCGGCAGAGCGCAAACTATTATCAGTTCCCACAAAACACATTTACGTGTCATCAACTGTTGACGCAAATAGTTCCCACAATGACTTGTTTGGGATCTGCGTCTACTGTTCTCACAATTTCTCATTCACCCAATTTGTTGCTTTCCAATAATGATCTCCAGTTTTCCAATGATCTCCAGTACCAACAACGGGCACCGAAAGGATAGCTGCAGCAGCTATGACAATCTATTGTCGCTTATGATCAGCCCTTTGCTGCCCAACTTGGATGAACCAAGTTCATCTCTTCCTTCGTCTTTCATGGACCCCTTTGACGATCTAAGCATGGAACCTGTCCCTCTCAGCGGATCGAAAGGCCAAGCGCTTCCATCGCTGGTCCAATCTGATTCCATCTTCTTCATGAATGACGAATCAGCTTTTGATTCGATCTTTATGAACGAAGTCGTCAGCAACGAACCCACTTGCACTCCTACTCCTAACCATCTACAAGACCTCATCAGCATTCTGGACCCCCTCACTACCTCTAATCAAGGGGCCAAAAGAAGCAACGAAGCCTTCTTCACTGGTGATGACCAAGTGCGCGCCAAAAAGCGCCAACGACCGAGCTACACACATGCTGTTACTCCCGCAGAAGAAACTATGGTTCGGTTCCGACCGTACCAGGAGACACAATGGCGAGCGCAGTTCCAAAAGCTCATCCAGTACAAGCTTGAGCATGGACATTGCTCCGTTCCTCATGCTTATCCAGAGGATCCTATTCTAGCTCGATGGGTCAAGAGACAAAGATACCAATACAAGAAGTTCAACGATAACAATCCTACGTCTACGATGACGACTCGCCGCATTCAAGAGCTCGAATCCATCGGCTTTGTGTGGGATTCACACAAATCGGCTTGGCTGGAGAAGCTCAATGAGCTCAAGGTCTTCAAGCAACAACGAGGTCACTGCAACGTCCCCTCTAACTACCCACAGAATGCCGCTCTGTCAACTTGGGTCAAGTGCCAACGTCGTCAGTACAAACTGTTCATCACAGGGTCTTCATCTTCGACCATGACGCTGGAACGTCACCAAGATCTCGAATCCTTGGGTTTTGTCTTTGACATCCAAAGCCCGTCGAGGAAAACAAACTGAAGTTGTTCAAATCGTTTGCATGATTTCGAATAGACGATTGCACCATCATTGTATTATATGTAATAATAGAAATATTATTGACAAATGAAAAATTCGCTCGCCCTCACCATGATATATATATACTACGACTATAGCGAGCACGATGCCGAAGGTGTTCTTTCCGCTAATACATACTACTTGTTTTACCGTACGACTAGAGATCTATTGGCTAATTTGGCTGTGGTTGAAACGAATGATTATTCACTCATCGTCTTATCGTGCCATGTGTGCTAGTAAGGACGCACGGAAGTCAAGTGAGTCAAGGTACTCTCGAGGGAAAGCCGAACTAAGAGGGTCCCTGCACTACCCACTACATGTTTGTGTTGTAGTACGGCCACAGTTGTATTGTCTTTTAGGGGTGCGACCGTCATTGTAACGTTCGAGTGAAGATTCTTTCCTCCAGCGGCAATCATATCAGTCTGCTGTAAGAACTTTGTTCTACTATACTATTATCTAGAGTAGCTAGTAATGATTTACGCACAACCATACGGAGGTATGGAAGGACGTTTCTAATCTTTGGCATTATAGTTATCGATCGAGCATACCTAAGAGTTTCGCGGTCCTATTTTGTAATTTGATTGTACATAGTGACCCGTCCAAATAAGATGCGAATTGAGAATATCATAGCGGGATCAGAGAACACATAGGCCTTATATATATCCACATGGCGGTCACCATTCATTGCTGATCAGACATCCAAAAAAATCATCCGAAGGCCGATGGGTTATGAAGAGGGGCCAAGCGACCACAAATGAAATACAATAAAAAACATGTGTTTGGTACCCTGGTACCAGTTCTGTTTTGACTGTGGCTCATGATCGCTACCACTTTATAGTGAAGAACAGCATTCCGCCATGTGGAGAGAAAATGTACGATAACCGAAATCACGTGTCAATCGGAAGAGTAATACCAGCTTCCTCACAAATTTTAAATTACTGATTTTCCGCATCGCCCATGGCCGTGAACGCTGTCGTCGAACAAAACAACCAAACTCTGGCGTTTATCCAACAAGGAGACTTTGTCAACGCCATCGAGTCGTCATCCCACGCACTCAGATGCTGCAGGCTATTGATTGGAGGTGAGGCAGAGATGCTTCTGAACGAATGTCTCGATCATTGTATGCTTCTTCGTTCCCCAGTGAACGCGAACCCACCCCCAATGCCCTCTGGCGACGATCCCGTCTTCATTTACCGTCAAGGTATTACTATCCCTCTGCGTACAAGCTTCGTTGATCTGACTTGTGTCACTCCAATCCTTATATTCAACGCGGCACTTGCCCACCAATTGCTGGCCGAACAGCAGCAGGCGCTCCAACCACAACAACAACGACAACAACAACGACAACAACAACGACAGGATCGTGAACAAGACGAAGAAGATAGGGATGATCTTATATATATGTTACAAATGAAAGCCCGACAGTTATATAGACTCGCACATTCCACGGTCGATACAGAAGTGAATGTTCTGTTTCATTTTGTGGTTGTCAATAATACTGCAGTGATTGATCGACGTGTAGGCAACCCGGCAGTTTCCAATGCCTCCTTCTACTATTTAATGGCTCGGTTTCTGATACTACAGCACCAAGGAATGAATGAAAGGATACGCCATTTGGAGGGTTTTTGGGTGAATCTTCCTACATCACCTTCTGCCGCTGAATCGTGACAACAAATCTGTGAAGTCAGGAACTTCAATCGTTTTAATCTAGCTGTACAGTATGGCAACTATGATAGTCCATGTCTAAATTTTGTACTATGGCTATTTTAAAAAAAAGGTGATCCTAGTTCAGAGTGGTTATATCGAGGCACAATGTCGTCGTCATCAATTCAACTCGATTGAGATTGCGCCCCTTGCTCTTAGCTTACTAGGGTTAGCATTTTCAAAAGTCAAGTGATATAATTGAAATATTAGTACAACGCATAAACGGAAGAACACCAAACCCCATTTCACTCCTTGGATATCATGTCGTGAGGACGGCATCAACATGGCTATTTGTGGTTCTTCTTCTTTCCGTGTTTCTTAATTGTTGATGGACCAAGTGTATTTGCACGTCGGACATTCATAGAATACCGTTTGGCCTTCATCGACGGATCGCAACTGAACAGTATAGTATCCCACTTCGGGGCAACTACACCTCGGACAGGGTTCTTCAATAGTTGCTCGGACTGGTTCACTCGAGGTTTTCAGGGCGGCTTGTTCTTCGTCAGACTTGGCCCAGAGTGGAACAGGTCGATCAGCAGAATATGTAGTCGAGGAAGGAATAGAAGTCATTTCTGATAGGTTGGATCGGTAAGGACAGACGTTGCACATTATGGCTCCGGTGGAATCCACAATAAGGGTCGAGTGACATGACGGACAGAATGGCCAGACCATGATGGTGTTGATGATTTTGATGATAGTACTATTGGAATTGATTGAATTTGCGTTGAAATTTACGCAGATGGCAAGATTCAGAAAACCTAGAGGGTAGAGCCAGCTGCTATTCAATTATCCTCCTTTCTTTTGACACCCAACGATGATGAAAAGATATTATTGATGACGAGATACACCTGTTGATGACGAATGAGATATATGATGGCGGAATGAAGAATCAAAAAATCTTGGTGGACCAGAAATAGTCATGTGCGCATCAATGCGCGAAGGTGCTACTGTAGTATATATCTCTCTCCATACCTACTACGGTATTAGCTTCTTTTTAGTCGTCGTTGAAGGCGTGGACAGAAGCATTATTTTTGCTAAGTGCAAGATGAGACTATGAAGAGCTAAGGAGCCATGATCATCTGAAGCAGTTCAGAATAATTATATCTATTTTTCCTCTTTCATCTACCCATCACTTGTGCGTAAGGATAAAGTAGTCGTGACGAGTGCTCGAAAACCGCTCACTCGCATCACATTGCATGGTGATCAGTGCCTGTACAGTACATCCTCATCCACCATCATGGATGCGCCTACATTTCAATTGGTATTACTTTTAGCGTTTTTATTTTAAAAAATAACAATTACACCAAGCAATACAATGTCTTTGGAGATTTGATTCTTCGTCTCTCCTATTGTTGTTGCTCCACCACCTCGAGCTCCTCTGTGCTCTTTCGTCGCTCCTTCTTCTTGTCCCGGACACGTTTGGGTGACTTTTCCCGTTTGAGCGTTTTTTCTCGTTTGGATGCTTTTTCCCGTTTGGGTGACTTCTCCCGTTGCTGTTTGCTGGTTGTGCCAGTCAAGGATGATCTCTTTTCAGAAGGAGAGAGCAGCGTGCCAGCGTCTGCAGATTTTAAGGCATTTTTCGGAACAGACGAGTGACGTTTGGGGATGGTGGTGGCGGAAGTCGAATGTCGTTTGGGTCTGGCGGCAACAGAATCTTTGTTGCGTTTTGGACTAACCGAAAGACGCCCATTCATCCCGTTGGCTCGGTGCTGTTGTCGTCTAGAGAGAGTACCTCGTTGTCGCTTGGGTGAACGCGATGCTGTTTTTCTGACGTTGTCGGTTGCTGATTCCGTTTCGGCAGCTTCGGATCGGACGGATAAGTCCAGTGAGGCTTCACTGTTGGCAAAATCATTGTTCGTCACCACCACGACCATTGGATCCCCGTTGTTGTTTTCCGGGTCAATTACGCCATCGTCATCATCAGACGAATCATTATATTTTACAAACATGGATCGCTCCGCGCGAAGGGAAAGATTCAGAGAGGGTTGAAATTGGCTGTAAACAGTGTCTTCGTCATCCGATAGGTCATCCTCGACATCGCCTGTCAGCAAATTGGTATCAGTGAGGACAATTTGGTGAGGCTGATCCCCTCCCAGATCGGTAGTTCTTGTTACGCGTTCGCTATGATCGGTAGTTCTTGTTACGCGTTCGCTATGGGCCAATTCGTCAGCTTCTTCATGATCATCGTCATGATCATCGTCATCTCCTAGTCGCTGCATGAGTGTCGAGCAACTATCATTACTGTCTCGTCGTCGCAATCGGCGCAATACCGAAGGCGACTTGCTTCGAATGTTGCGAATACTATTGGAGCCCGATTCCAGTGCCTCTCGCATTTGATCACGACGCGAGGATCGTCCACGGCTTGATCGACCTGAGGATTTACTGTTCCCTGTGCTCATGAGTCCAACAGAATCATTGTCGCTGTCATTACCATCGTTTTGCTCGGAAGGTTTAATCTTGTTCTTTCCCAAACTTAGACGTCGGAGCTTCTTGCTGAAGGAGACAGGCCTTTGTCTTTTCTTTTCATCTGGATCATCATTCAGCATGAATTCACCAACGAATCCTTCATCTTCTGCAGAACTAGGAACCGCTGGATTCGGTTCAGAGTCGTCGTTGTCGTTGTCGTTATTGTTGAGAGCTTTGTTGTAGTCGATCGAAGGACCTCTGGATACCATGTTATCGCTATTATCAGGTGACGCCTCTGCTGCTGGTGCGGCGTCTGAAGCAAGCGATGATGATGATGATGATGATTGTGACATCTCCAGCGGATGAGGGTACGGTGATGGTGCTTCTAGTTTACCTTCTCAAGTTTTGCAGTAGACCAGACAGTAGTATTGATGTGGTGGGTCATTTTCACTACATGACCCCTGTTAATTTTTTCGAAGGGTTCAAAAGTCGGTCTACGTTTTCTTACAACTCCTATGCCTTTGGTCGCAAGAAACTTCGAAATGTTTACGTATTTATTGGTCGGGCATAAGTGTCTCGCTTGGGTCACTTTTTCAATCTTGGTCAAATCATCGCTGAACAGAATATCTGTAACGCCCAAGTGAAAATCTCCATCCAACATGCATCATCACACCTGTACTCGTACCCACATCTTGCAACGATGAAGAAGAGTATTTATTGCTTGCTGTATCTGAAAACCGATTGCTCGTGTCTATTTCTTTTGCATGGATGGTCGCAAAAAGGAGACAAGTATAGAGGATGCGTCTCTCATGAATGAATGAATGAATGAATCATGGAAAGGAACAGAACAGAGGCTCATCATCAGTACCATCAGTACCATTACCCAAAAACCCGAAAGAGGATTGCGATACAATTGCTTGACAACTGATAACATTCACGGTTCCCCGAAGAGCCAAGCTTTGGGATTGCATGGAATGAGGATTCCGCTCACTGGTTCGATGATAGAAACAAGATTCAGCTTCATCTGACCCGGCCGATGTCATCACAAGCAAGAAGATTTCGTACCCATTGATGGTAAAGGCTTTGCATACCATCACTTTTTACCCGATAGTCGCTGAAAGTGTGTCGAGAGTTGATGAAAGCAACTGAAGAACAAATAATGCCAATGTAACATTGACACGGCGCGCTTGACAGTATGGCAGTGGGACGCCGACGCCAAATTCAATTACCAAGCCTTGTAGATTTCTTTGCCGGAAAAGAGGTAAAATCCGTTGGTGGGATGCACCCGCTGGCTGACGGCTGGATCCTTCTACCTATGGGCTGCGTCACTCAAAAATATCGAGAACGACGAATATGCCTTCAAGAGAATATATCCTTGCCATCGTTATACTCTGGCTTCGTCCATGGGGATTGACTCACTCCTTCTGGCAGACAAGAATGTGATCGCAATCTTGAATGAGGATGGTGGGCACATATTGTAGATGATTGATATGCATGCTTCTTCACTGATAAACAATTAGAACTGTGCAATTAGAACAATTTATACAAATACGCAGCGAGTACTGTGAACTTACCAATGCGAAGACAAATCGTCTTCAGTCCATTGTTACTTTGATTTCCATTCAGCAATGCGACTATTCTTTATCCAGCATCGTCGTGCTGCATTTCATTCAGTTCAGAGTAGATGTCAGAAGGAATTATTCCATACAATATAGGATATTGAGTCATTACTGTCATCTGATCGGAACGAGGGCAGTTCATCGAACGTGCACTTCATTCAACGTGAATTCATCATCTCTTTTGCTTTTGATATCCAAATTCTTCCAACTGTGAAAACAGAATATTCAATTTCGAATCAATAGACGTTGTATCATTCGGTGACGGTTCAGTTGATTCTTGGTGCTGCTTCTGGTCGGGTATGTTGTACGGATTAATGGGCATGTACGCCTCATCAATAACTTCCGCCTGCATATGTATCAAATCCACCAATTGACCGCATGTGATGGAATATAGCTCAAGGTCAGATTGGTTTTGTGGCGAGTAATGTCGGGCTGAATGGTTGCTACTATTTGCGGCGGCCGCTGCTGCTTGTTGGACAGTCAATTCTCTTGCCATTGTGAGCAATGAAGATTTATTGTCTCTTGATGTTGAAGATTCATCCTTAACGATGGCAGCAAGAGGGGCGCGAGAAGGATGCTCCTGTGAATGTAAATAGTAGGCATCTTCAACATTGTTGTGAATACCACGTTGTTGGTGATGCTGTTGTTGATGCTGTTGGCGATGCTGTTGATGATGCTGTTGGTGATGCTGTTGATAATGCTGTTGATGAGGTTGGTGTGAGGTGACGATCGGTACTTCCCAACTGGACTCCTCAGTTGTCGGATTTGCGTAATAGATTCGTCCAGTATTTGAATCTCGGGCTTCTACCCATCCTGGTGGCAATGCAGAGCCTGTCATGATCTTTTTGATTTGTACTGTAGGATGAGGCAGATGATGAGACCGTATTTTCCGGTAAATGCAGTCTTTTATATTGTAGGTCGTCACTCATCCCCATCATCATCGCATCTCTCCGCGCACGCTGCGATGCCACGATGGTCGAATGAGTCATCCGTTCTGCCATACACAGTACTAATATCAGAGTACAGCCCAAAAGTACCGTTGAAATCTCAAATTTTCTAGGAACCTTCGATTAAAATAGCGACAGTTAGTACTCAAACATGATTTGAAACTGCATGCAGAGACAGCGATCCGTCTCATCAAAATGCTGTCCTGCAGCATAATCCGTTTGTCATAATTGATTCATGCATCAGCAACAGGAGGATCCATCATTCTTCATGATCTTGTTCATCATTCCAAAAGATGAGAAGATCGAAAAGACTAAAGACGAGACAGCAGCATTCTATAAGTAAGTGCGAGGATGATTTGCCTGACATAACACCCGCCCGGAGTAGTATGATCGAAATTCTGGCGAAGCCACTACTATTAGGCAATGGGACTGCTGCTCAGCATGCTGATGAGGATGCCTATTATGATGATGACGAAGAAGAAGAAAAAGATGATGACGAGACAGTATCTATCAATGAAGAGCAGTCCGATGAAGAACATGAGAGTGTGACAGAAAGCGCCATTGTTCCATCTGGATACCATATAAGTAACTTTGGAATGGACATCATTGCAGTCACCCAGAAGACAAACCCACGTCCTCTGCTGGCAGATTTCGAATCGTCCAACAAAATGAGCTCATTTGATGCTCTGATTTACAACTTGATTCTTCTCAATAATACCTTATCAGAACCTTACTGGTATCAGGTGTTCTACCGCGCAACAGAAGAAAGCAAGGTCTATGATGGTGTCGGGACTTTCCACGAGTTGCTTGAGTTGGATCAGAAGCAATGCTTGGACGTTCTTGTGGCTTCCGGACTTGTGGCGCCGAATAAGAACCACCGAATGCAAGCAAAGCGAAAGATATTTGAGCGAATTTTAGATTTGGTGCCTGGCTTTGATTTCAAAATCAACACCACAAACCAGGGCTTTAGTCACACTTTTGTTTTGATTGGCCCGCCGACAAAGACAGTACCGTCCCTGAGTGAACAAATAGGCCTAGACAAAGAGACACCAGTCTTCAAACAGTTAATATAATCATGTAATATAAATTTAACTCATGTTAACTTCACCGATTCTAGCCTATTGATTCTCCCTCAAAGTCCATTTCATTTCCCCATCCCATACATCCAGCTAGCACCTTGATGACAGGTATTCTCAATCAATGCCTCATTCCAACAATATTCACCTCCGCAATGTGCGGTATTAACCAGTTCCAGTTCCAATAGATGTTCCAGTACACGCTTACTCGAACATATCCTTGATGAAATCATCATCTGCCGAATCATTCGCCTGATTGGCAACGTCGTCAGTCTTTTTTTCGTCAGCGTCCAAATTTTTAAGAATATCATCCTCATCATCGGAACCAATTTCAAACGCTACCAAATCAATGTCCATGTCAGCATCTAAACCATCTAGTTCAAGATCCGGGGTAGTGACAGCAGTAGTAGTTGTAGTCTCGGTTGGTTTGTCTTCGGTAGTACTAGCTGCAGCTTCTTCCGTGGTTGTCTTGGAAGCTGCAGTGTCCGTGGAGGTGTCAAGCGCTGGAGCTGGTGTTGCCGCTGCTGAAGTTTCATCGAATTCCGAATCTCCTTCCAGATCCTTGGCAAAGGCAAAGGCATTGGACTTGACCAATGGCGAATTGCATTTTTCCAACGTCAAGATCAAACGTTCATAGGTGGACACACAAATTTGGGTGGTATCGTCCTGAAATTGTCCATCAATCCCCGCTTCCATCAACTGATCCATTCTTCCTAGGCTGGCTTCGAGTTTCTTGATGGTGTAGGGCAATCGAGGATCAGGATCATAATCAATTTGATTAATGAGGTCGTCCTTTTCAGCTAGTAGGGTATGACAGAGAGTCATCAATTCGTGCAATTGTTCCAATTCGGCCACAATTTGCTCGTCCACACTGGGTGGTTTTAGTGGTACTTGCGGCTGTGGGGCAACTAGCTTTTGAGTGAATCCAGCAAAGCTCGTTCGAAATCGAGACATTGTTGTTTGGACGTCTTCCTTGGCCTTGTCCATGTCTTTCTGAAGAGTTTCCTTAATAGAAGAAACAATTGGTGGTGTTTCCGCAGGAGAAGTCGGAGTGTCGGGAGTACCTCTGGGATTGTTTTTCTTTTGAGGGGTCAAGACTTCGGACCATTCCGCAGTCTTTTTATCGTAAACCTTCTTAATCTTTTCTTCTTGCTCAAATTGCATGGCCAAGAATTTTTCATCTAATTTGTTCATTTGTTCTTTCATGTCGTCCATTTGCTTTTTCCCCCAGGAAAGAAAGTTAAACGAGCCACGCTTATCAGTTTGCGATCCTCGTCGTTGAGACAAAGAGTTTCGTTTGGCTCCTGGCGAATTAGCAGGCAAAGGACTTCGGTGTTTGGCAACAGTGTCTCCTTTTTCAGTGCGTTCGTCTGCTAACTTCAGAACTGCCATGGCGGCAGCACGAACGTCTTCGGGCTTTTTGGAGGGAGCTTCAGCTGCTACAGTTGCCATATTGATTCACTGATTGATGGTAATGGTAGGAGTTGCGTTGAAGGGGAGTTGTCAGTTCTTTTTATAGGATTCGTAATAAGACCGTGCACCTCTCTATGTCTTATTCCTTTACAGCGTCAGACGCAGCACGAGGCACGAGTCGATTTTTTTCAAAATTCCACTACGTCCGGGTTGCCTTCTATTTCAAAACTGACCGTTGCGGACTCATTCGACTGAATCATGTTCCAATAATGGATCAATCAGATCGTAATCCGTTGTCTGCCCGTCGTCTTTTATGCCAAAAATGAATGACCTAGTACCTGGTACCATCCTTGCTGGTACCAGGTACCCGATACGATTTTACCCTTGCCAGTGTTGTCACGCCTAAATAATAACCACGACGGGTACCGGTATGCCGGACATCCCTCGCGGCACTGGAAGGACGCTGCAAAAGAATCAGTGGTAGATTCTGAGTCCAAATATTTCACTGCTGCATAGTGGTAGTGCTGCTGCACTACCACTACGCACAGCAGTACTGCTGTATCGAAGGGTCCCGGCTCCCATAAGTGTCTCTACACGATATTTTCTCGTGGGAAACTCCGCCTTTTAGCCATAGGAAAGCGCTTCAACGGGGAATACTAAGGAAATTTTAATCGTTCTAATCTCTGGTACGTCGCCTGGCCATGATGATGCAATGCGGGAATGTAAACTGGCCGAAAGGAGGAAATCTAAAGGAACTTGGGAAAGGCATCATCATTCTTACATTTAGTAAGTATTCATATTTATAATGGAATTGAAGAAATAGGTCCTAGTATCATATGCAATCTTTTTCAAATAAGGCTCTCGACGGTGCTGGTGCTGGCTGGTCATCATGGTCTACATCATTAATGCTCGTCGAGCAGAAAGGTATTGTTGCTCATACAAAAGCATCTCTTGCAATGACGATGATGGTGCCGATGCTAATGATGCCGGTAGTACTGAAGACGAGGTTGAAGAAGAGGATGAGGATGATGAGGATGGGGTTGGATATCCAGCACCAAGGCAACCAAGTGGTCCGGCGATCCTTGGCCCAAGTGAGAGGGGAGAATGATGGTTCATCATCAACCCTCCTGCTGCTCCAGCCATCCCAAGTGTTTCAAAGTGTCTTCTCCTTTCCATCAAACCTGCAATCCTCGTTGCAATGCTTTCATTACTGTTCATCATGGGATGAGGAGTCCGAGCAGAAGAAGAAGCAACCATCTCGGGGCCGTGCAGCGATGGGAGCACATTACCATGAGATAGTGGCAGTAAAGGAACATGGGATTGTTGACACGGTAGGAGTGCAGCTGAGGGCAAAGATTGGGGCAAACCTTGTTGCTGTGGTTGGACACTAGGGAAGAGTGCCGTAAGTAACGATTGGGGCAACCCTTGTTTCTGTTGCTTGTCACTGTTGGCCGAGTCGACAACAGACTTTGCTTTTGCGGTGGCTTCAAACGACGTTGTTTCTGTTAAAGGCAAAGAACTTGCATCTTCCTCGTCACCAACCATGCTGACTTTGGCACCAAGTGTGTTCCTCACCTTTTGCAAAGAGACATGCATGTCTACCACAGCAAAGGTGATCTCCTCTCTAGACTTGTGCAGAAATCTTGCACCATCTTGAGTGATCTCAGAGTACGCAGCCTCAACAATTTCACGTTTTCTGGATCGATGGATGGAATCGTATCGAGCCTTGTACTTACGGACGATAGCCCTCATTCTCCTGTTGCCAGGATGGTTCTGATAGGCTCTACCTCGTCCAAAGATCACATCGTCCTTGCGGACATTGGAAATTCTTTGGGAATCGCGAATAGCTTCATCAAAGCTTTTGTGGCGACGCTTCGGCTTGTGCTTTCGATCTTTCCATGGAGTGTAACGCTTGGCCACAGCATCGCGCATCTTGTCGGCCAATGCGATCTGATCTGGTGTCTTGGGGTTGAGCTTTTTGGATGCTGTCATGTTTTCAAATTATGCGATTTGATAAAGACCGAAGACAAAAAAATTAAGTTGTGTGAAAACGCTCCCCCGCTCTCAAGAAATCGAATACGATCACACAAAATAGCATTTTGTGTTCATGCGGTACCCTTGGCACGTTTTATACAAAATGGTGAATATAATGTTCTCATTGTTTCGAATTTATCGAAATTTAAGAGACACATGATAAAACCAAAAAGAGTGTTAATTAGATGCAAAGCTGGATATCTGCAGGCTGAGCGCGGTACTCACAGGAGAGGCAATCTGTGCTTGAAGAACGGCGAATTAAAAAATCTGTCAGGTACGAAGCGGAAAGAAATCACTTTGCATTTCGCATTTTGATGTATTTCACCAAAGGGTCCCGGATGCCTTAAGTACGATAACCGAGTAGATGTTGCTTCCAAGACTTCGCCAGGATGATTGATTATCGTTAACACATTTGATTTCGCGTTAACACATCTCACGTCGAGACGGCCGAAATGATATCTTTTTTAAAAACCTTGCTGTTTCGCAGTATGAGAATTTGGAACGTGGAAACCATCCAACTTCACGAGACCTTTCAGTGATTAGCGAGTCATATGCCTCTACAGCTAGAGGTACCAGGTAGGCAATACCAGGCACCAGGCACCGCCGATGGAGCAGAAATCTCGAAACAAAAATGCGCCATTGGAAGATTTAGGAGAAATTCGCCTTGTTGCGACAAAAGGTCCCGGCAGATGCCCTATTTATTGTAATTTTACAAGGAACGCAGTGCATCATGATAACGCATCAAGGACAAGAGTGCAACTACGAGCTTCCCCACTGAACGGGAGTTAAAAGTCCAACGAATGACGCGAAATCTTTTATTAGCGTTAACGCATGACGAAATTCGGTTCTGAGTCGAAGAAATAGAGATAAAATGCGCGGCCGCTTCGCTTTGGAAACTGGTAGTCGTGAGTCGTGAGGCTAAATATTCCACCTATTATCACTCGATTGTCGTGTGTCAGTCAAGAAACAAAGCTACGAGAGGGGATTTTGTATTTTTTAAAAACGTTAACGCATTAGCCTGAGGAGGTCGAAGGGATGCGTTTCTACCGGTACACGTTTCTCTCATCTGGTGGAATTTGAAACCGGTGAATTTGAAACGGCCTTTCGTTCCATCTCAGTATTGTGGTAGGGTTTTCAGGAGGGTTAAGGTACAGAATTTACCTACTCCTCATGGGCTGCCGTGTGCCAGGAGCCCTGCCAGTACAATGGTGAAAATCTCTCTTGACGCATTGTATGTGGAGACAGCTAGTCCTGGTGCGCCAAGCGGAAGAAGTACCCAGTGGTATCCTCATGTATTGTAAGGTTCCCAATCCAGTCAAATACAAGGCACTGCGATAGGATTACTATACAAGCATGATTGTGGAGCCAATGTCCGAAGTAGCGACTGTGAGAACCAATCGTGACGCATTTGACAAAGAGTTTTGCTTGATTGCGTCAATGACACCTCGGCGCTGCCTCAAAACAACAAATTGACACTTTATAGTCGAAACACACCAGGTTCATCTCATTCATAACTAGCCATCGTTTTGCTACTGTAACAAATGGTGTTGTTACTTTGGAGACTCGCTGTAATAAAGATAGCCCCTTGACTGATTCTTGTTTTGTTTTTTGCTTGTAATTTGGCCATTGGGTGTTGTATAAACGCGACGTCATCCGTAAACAAAAATCGTATCCCAATGAATGGACTATGTGAACACTGTACACTTTGGCAATCACGGTGCGGCTGAATTGCTCATCACCAAATCCCCCCTACTTTGATTCGAGCTGACCGGAAGGAACGTTCCGAAACAATAACTCGGAATGGTAATAGGCATTTAGATGCAAGACATCTTGGGTCGTCACCTTGTAGCTAGCTTGGTCGAGACACAATGCAATCACATTGGACAAATCCATTTGGATGGCCCTGGCAGCACATACAAAGTTGTGACCAAGATTTGAATCCGAGCCACATTGGTGATCATGACAATAGCCACTCCCTTGGACGACCACTATCTTCTCCTCCTTTGTTCCTGGTGGCGGTGTTAGTAGTAGCATTCGATACACCAAAAGGATGATTGTGCATTTGGCGTGGACGCCGCTTTCTGGAGTATGGAGTATGGGCTTCAAATCTTCCACATAGTTGGCAAATCGAGTGAGTCCACGCTTCCTTGACCATTTTCGGACTCATCCCCTTGTTCCAATGGTAAGCCTCCCAGTCGTTCCGTCGATGCGTGTGGCTGACATAATCCATGGGTATCTTAGGTGCTTCTGCTTGGTGGTGACGGGTGCTGCTTTGGCTGCCTCTGTGGCCGTTGGGTTTCGACTGATGCTGCTCCTGCATCCTCTCATCATTAACATTTTGTCTTGTTCTTCGTTTCAGGCCTCGAGAATCGATGCAAATAAGCCGAAGGTTCCCAGTGTGGTATAATTGCTAGGCATTTTTGATACCGTCCTGTGTTTTTTCTTCTGGACTACTACTTGCTTTTACCACCATGCGGCTTGCAATTCTTGACATATCGTATTGAATATGGTGTTATTCCGTGACCGAACGATTGTGCACTAGGAGTCGAATCCGGTCTGTCTGACGACCGGCTGCTGATATCTTGTCCACTACGGTATGATATTCGACAAAGGGTCAGTCTTGCCAAGATATTACTCTTGGTCTTACTGCCTTAGCTTTACCTAAGCCCCGCCGACTCTTGCCCAGTATTGCAGTTCCGTTTCAACACTGGATCTATTCGTGCATCCTTTACTTCAGTCAAATGTAAGTCATCATAATATTTCTTTGAATCAATTTGTATCCTATGAAGTATTTTATTTTAAAATACATACTACTATTTTATGATGACGATTGAACAAAATTCCGTAGAATGAATGAATGATACCGGTACGGTGAAAAACATAACAAGAGGGTACGATAGTGCGCTTATGGTAGTACAAAAACCCCTCCTGTCAATAGTGAATGGTGACGGGA